CACCCATGCTGTCACCCCCCCACCCATGCTGTCACCCCCTCGTCCGCCTCCTCGCCCCCCCGTCCGCCTCCTCACCCCCCCCCCACCTCCCCCCCAGACCTCCTGGAGAAGTCCCGCGTCATCTTCCAGCTGAAGGCGGAGCGGAACTACCACATCTTCTACCAGATCCTCTCCAACAAGAAGCCGGAGCTGCTGGGTGAGCCGGGCGGGGGGGGGAAGCCACCCCCGTGGCTGGGGGGGGGGGGGGTTCTTCTCCTGCCCCCTCCTCCCTAAATGGGGGGGGGTTTGGAGCCGGGAGTGCTCAGCGGTGTCTCCATCCCGGGCCAGAGATGCTGCTGGTCACCTCCAACCCCTACGACTACGGCTACGTGTCCCAGGGCGAGGTGACCGTGGCCTCCATCGACGACGCCGAGGAGCTGCTGGCCACCGACGTGAGCGGGGAGGGACGGTGGGCAGGGCGGGAGGGAGGGGGTCTTTGGGTGTGTGGATGAGTCCAACGAGTGGGTGGGTCTGTCCCGTGGATGAACGAACGAGCCCTTCAAGGGGTGAGCCCTCCAAGCCCACAGATGGACACGGCCCCGCCGGCCGGGCCGACAGGCGGGAGGGGCACCCACAGGTGGTGACCAGCAGGTGCCGTGCCCTCCCCTGACCTCTCCTCCCCCTCCCCCAGAGCGCCTTCGACGTGCTGGGCTTCACGGCGGAGGAGAAGGCCGGGGTGTACAAGCTGACGGGCGCCATCATGCACTTCGGCAACATGAAGTTCAAGCAGAAGCAGCGGGAGGAGCAGGCGGAGCCCGACGGCACCGAAGGCGGGTGGAGGGGGGCCAGGGGGTGGCAGGTCCGGGGTGGGGGGGGCCACCAGGGGGGAGGTGGCACCTGACCACGCACCTCCTCCTCTGTAGACGCCGACAAGTCCGCCTACCTGATGGGTCTGAACTCGGCCGACCTGCTCAAGGGGCTGTGCCACCCGCGCGTCAAGGTGGGCAACGAGTACGTCACCAAGGGCCAGAGCGTGCAGCAGGTCTACTACTCCATCGGCGCCCTGGCCAAGGCCGTCTACGAGAAGATGTTCAACTGGATGGTGGTGAGGATCAACAACTCGCTGGACACCAAGCAGCCCCGGCAGTACTTCATCGGCGTGCTGGACATCGCCGGCTTCGAGATCTTCGACGTGAGGCCCGCGGGGGAAAAGGGAGGGGAGGCAGCGCTGGGCTTCTTGGAGGTGGTGTTGGTCCAGCTGGATGGTGGGTGGGTCTCCTGTAGCTTCACGTTGGCCTTGAGTGGACGCTCGGGTGCTCTGGGTCTTTTTGGTGACGCTGCTTGGTGTTGAGTTGGCCTCATGGGTCCCACTGGGCATTGAGCTGGCCCTGTTGACCCTGCTGGGTGTTATTTTGACCCCATTTGGGTCTCAGGTTGACCCACTGATCTCACAGGATGCTCTGTTGACCCTACTGGGTATTGAGTTGTGCCCGTTGACCCTACTGGCCGTTGTGTTGACCCTGTTGGGTCTAAGGTGACCCCGCTGATCCCACTGGGCCTTCTGGTGATCCCACTGGCCGTAGAGTTGACCTCACTGACCCCACTGGGTATTGAATTGACCCCCTTTTCCCCTTTGGGAATCCCTTTGTCCCGGCTGGGCACCGAATTGACCCTCTGGGTGTTGAGTTGACCCCTTTGGCCCTGTTGGGCACTGAGATGACTCTGCTGGGTATTGAATTGACCCCTCTGACCCCGCTGGGTCTCGGGTCCACCCCTCCAATCTCGCTGGGGGTTGAGTTGACCTCACTGACCCCCCAGACCCCATCGCCTGCCCCTCCCTTGTCCTCCCCCAGTTCAACAGCTTCGAGCAGCTCTGCATCAACTTCACCAACGAGAAGCTGCAGCAGTTCTTCAACCACCACATGTTCGTGCTGGAGCAGGAGGAGTACAAGAAGGAGGGCATCGAGTGGGAGTTCATCGACTTCGGCATGGACCTCCAGGCCTGCATCGACCTCATCGAGAAGGTACCGCCTCCCTGGGGGCCGAGGGGGCTGATGGAGGAGGGTCCGTCCAGCTGGAGCCCCTGAGGGACCCAACAAGCGACTTTTGGCTGTCCCCCCCCCCCCGCAGCCCATGGGGATCATGTCCATCCTGGAGGAGGAGTGCATGTTCCCCAAGGCCTCGGACATGACCTTCAAGGCCAAGCTCTACGACAACCACCTGGGCAAGTCAGCCAACTTCGGGAAGCCACGCAACGTCAAGGGCAAGGCCGAGGCCCACTTCTCGCTCACCCACTACGCCGGCACCGTGGACTACAACATCCTGGGCTGGCTGGAGAAGAACAAGGACCCCCTCAACGAGACGGTGGTGGGGCTCTACCAGAAATCCGCCCTCAAGCTCTTGGCCAGCCTCTTCTCCAACTATGCCGGGGCGGACTCCGGTGGGTGGTGGGCGGATGGAGGAGACAGTTGCCCACTGGAGTCGCCTTCGTTCCCACCTCACCCCACCCATCTTGTCCCCCAGGTGGTGACGGCGGGAAGGGCAAAGGAGCCAAGAAGAAAGGCTCCTCCTTCCAGACGGTCTCGGCTCTCCACCGGGTGAGGGACCTGCGCAGCAGATCCGCCGTGGGGCAGAGGGAGGGCAACCCCCGGTGTGGAGGGTGGTCCCAGCCACGGCCCCTCCCCTGCTCTCCCCTTGGTCAGCCTCTTCTCTCCTCCCCAGGAGAACCTCAACAAGCTGATGGCCAACCTCAAGACCACCCACCCCCACTTCGTGCGCTGCCTCGTCCCGAACGAGCGGAAGCAGCCGGGTGAGCAGAGGGAGGGAGGGGGGTGGGTGGGAAGGGGGTTGTGGTTCAGGGTTGACCCCCCCCACCTGTGTCCCCCCCCCCAGGTGTGATGGACAACGCCCTGGTGATGCACCAGCTCCGCTGCAACGGGGTCCTGGAGGGGATCCGCATCTGCCGCAAGGGCTTCCCCAACCGCATCCTCTACGGGGACTTCCGCCAGCGGTGGGACCGGGGCGAGGGGTGGGGGGCACAACCCCAGGGGGGGCTGACCTGGGGGGTCACGTCCTCCCTGCCCCCAGGTACCGCATCCTGAACCCCGCGGCCATCCCCGAGGGGCAGTTCATCGACAGCCGCAAGGGCGCCGAGAAGCTCCTGGGCTCCATCGACATCGACCACAACCAGTACAAGTTCGGGCACACCAAGGTGGGGGCACGTGGGCTCGCTTCCCCCTGGTCCACCCCTCCCACGAGGTGACAGGGACCTCGCCATCCCCCTGCCCATCCGTCCATCCCCCTGCCCATCGGTCCCTCCCACCCAGGCCACGTGGTCTCTGTTCCCCCCTTCCCCCCCAAAGGGGGACGTGGATCCCACAGTCCCCCCACCCTCTCCCTGCCCTCGTCCCTCCACCCAGGTGTTCTTCAAGGCGGGGCTGCTGGGGCAGCTGGAGGAGATGCGGGACGAGCGCCTGTCCCGCATCATCACGCGCATCCAGGCGCGGGCGCGGGGGCAGCTCATGCGCCTCGAGTTCAAGAAGATCGTGGAGCGCCGGTGAGAGGGGGGGACGGGGGCCTCTCCTCGCCGGCTGGGCCGGCTCCTCCGGGCCACGGTGGCACCCGCGTCCCCTCCCCGCACAGGGACGCGCTGCTGGTGATCCAGTGGAACCTGCGGGCCTTCATGGGCGTGAAGAACTGGCCCTGGATGAAGCTCTACTTCAAGATCAAGCCCCTGCTGAAGAGCGCCGAGACCGAGAAGGAGATGCAGGTGGGGGGAGGGCGTAGGGCGGAGCGCCGGGGGCGAGGGCAGGGTGGGTGATGGAGGGGGGGCTGGACTCGCCACGGGTCTCCCGGAACAGAACATGAAGGAGGAGTACGGGCGGCTGAAGGAGGCCCTGGAGAAGTCGGAATCGCGGCGGAAGGAGCTGGAGGAGAAGATGGTCTCCATGCTGCAGGAGAAGAACGACCTTCAGCTCCAAGTGCAGGCTGTGAGGGAGATTAACCCCCCCAAACCACATCCCAGGGGTGGCTGCCACCCCCGTTGACCCCCCCTAGAGCTGCCCCGTGTCACCCCCCCACAGGAGCAGGACAACCTGAACGACGCGGAGGAGCGCTGCGACCAGCTGATCAAGAACAAGATCCAGCTGGAGGCCAAGGTGAAGGAGCTGACGGAGCGGCTGGAGGACGAGGAGGAGATGAACGCCGAGCTGACAGCCAAGAAGAGGAAGCTGGAGGACGAGTGCTCGGAGCTGAAGAAGGACATCGACGACCTGGAGCTGACCCTGGCCAAGGTGGAGAAGGAGAAGCACGCCACTGAGAACAAGGTGAGGGTGGGGAGGGGCCTCGGCCTCGAGGGGGGGACTTGGGTCAACTCAGGCTGGGTGGGTTGGGTTGAAGAGCCCCAAGGTGGGTGGGGTTATGGGGACACAAGGTGATTGGGTTGAGTTGGGTTGAGGAGACCCCACCTAGTTGGGTTGGGTTGGGTTGAGGAGACCCCACCTGGTTGGGCTGGGTTGAGTAGACCCCACCTGGTTGGGTTGGGTTGAGGAGACCCCACCTAGTTGGGTTGAGGAGACCCCACCTAGTTGGGCTGGGTTGAGGAGACCCCACCTAGTTGAGTTGGGTTGAGGAGACCCCAACTGGTTGGGCTGGGTTGAGGGGACCCCAACTGGTTGGGCTGGGTTGAGGAGACCCCAACTGGTTGGGCTGGGTTGAGGAGACCCAAGGAAGGTTGGATCAGATTAATCAGACCCAAGGCTGGCTGGGTGGGTTTATCAAGAAGACCCAACACCCTCTGGGTTCTCTGCACTGAGGTGGCCCCACTGGCCCCATGGTGACCCCACTGGCCCCATGGTGACCCCGCCCCTGGCACCGAGCTGCAGACCTCACGCTTCCCCTGCAGGTCAAGAACCTGACGGAGGAGATGGCGGGGCTGGACGAGACCATCGCCAAGCTGGCCAAGGAGAAGAAGGCCCTGCAAGAGTCCCACCAGCAGACCCTGGACGACCTGCAGGCCGAGGAGGACAAAGTCAACACCTTGACCAAGGGCAAAGTCAAGCTGGAACAGCAAGTGGACGATGTGAGTGTCACTGGTCACGCCCCAGGCCCCGTCAGGGAGCTTCTGGGGCAGAGCTGAGGAAAACCCGAGGTTTCTCCCCATTTCCGTGTTCCCACACAGCTCGAAGGCTCCCTGGAGCAGGAGAAGAAGATCCGGATGGACCTGGAACGGGCCAAGAGGAAGCTGGAAGGTGACCTGAAGCTGACCCAGGAGAACATCATGGATCTGGAGAATGACAAGCAGCAGCTGGAGGAGAAGCTCAAGAAGTGAGGCCAGTCCCCCATCCCACGTACAGCCCGGCCTGGGGCATAGGTGGGACCTCACCACCCGCCTTTTCCTCTGCAGGAAGGAGTTTGAGATCCACCAGCAGAACAGCAGGATCGAGGACGAGCAGGCCCTGGCCCTGCAGCTCCAGAAGAAGCTGAAGGAGCTGCAGGTGAGGGGTTGGCTCTGAGTCTGCTTGGGCTGGGCTGGGGAGTCTCCAGGTGGTTGGGTTGGGTTGATCTGATTTAGGCTGAAGAGTCTCCGCTTGGTTGGGTTGGGCTGGAGAACCCTGAGTGCTTGGGTTGGGTTGGAGAGTCTCCAGATGGTTGGATTGGGGTGAAGATTCTCCAAGTGGTTGGTCTGAGCTGAAGATGCTCCACTTGGTTGGGTTGGGTTGGGTCGAGTTGAGTTGAAGTGTCTCAGGCTGCTTGGGTTGGGTTGAGGAGTCTCCTTTGTTGGGTTGAGTCAAAGAGTCCCCATTGCTGGGTTGGGTCGAGGAGTCCCCATTGCTGGGTTGGGTCGAGGAGTCCCCATTGCTGGGTTGGGTGGAAGAGTCCCCATTGCTGGGTTGGGTGGAAGAGTCTCCATTGCTGGGTTGGGTGGAAGAGTCTCCATTGCTGGGTTGGGTGGAAGAGTCTCCACTGTTGGGTTGGGTGGAAGAGTCCCCATTCCTGGGCTGGGTCGAAGAGTCCCCATTGCTGGGTTGAGTCGAAGAGTCCCCATTGCTGGGTTGGGTTGAAGAGTCCCCATTGCTGGGTTGGGTGGAAGAGTCTCCATTGCTGGGTTGAGTTGAAGAGTCTCCACTGTTGGGTTGGGTCGAAGAGTCCCCATTCCTGGGCTGGGCTGAAGAGTCCCCATTCCTGGGCTGGGCTGAAGAGTCCCCATTCCTGGGCTGGGTTGAAGAGTCCCCATTGCTGGGTTGGGTTGGGTGGAGGGGCTGGGTGGCCCCCCCTCCAAGAGCCCCCTCACACGGCGCAGGCGCGGATCGAGGAGCTGGAGGAGGAGCTGGAGGCGGAGCGGACGGGCCGGGCCAAGGTGGAGAAGCAGCGCTCTGAGCTGTCTCGGGAGCTGGAGGAGCTCAGCGAGCGGCTGGAGGAGGCCGGAGGTGCCACCTCGGCGCAGCTGGAGCTCAACAAGAAGCGGGAGGCCGAGTTCCAGAAGCTGCGGCGGGACCTGGAGGAGGCCACGCTGCAGCACGAGGCCACGGCGGCCGCGCTGAGGAAGAAGCACGCCGACAGCGTGGCCGAGCTGGGGGAGCAGCTGGACAACCTGCAGCGCGTCAAGCAGAAGCTGGAGAAGGAGAAGAGCGAGCTCAAGCTGGAGCTGGACGACCTCAGCGCCAACGTGGAGCAGCTGATCAAGGCCAAGGTGGGAGGAGGAGGCCGAGGTGGCCGTGGGGGAGTCCTGGGGTGGTTGGGGAGGGAGGCACCACGACGTTCATCCAGATCTATCAACAGTCGGGGACACCTGGCCTTGGACGCTTCAGGGAGGGGGCAGCCCCGGCTTCTCTGGGCAACCTGTGCCAGGGCCTCCCCACTCTCCTTCCCCAGATCCCACCCAATGCCTTCTAACAGGTGGGAACCTTCCAGCTGGGGAGAGACAGAAGAGGGGGGTTGGATGTGCCTCCCTGGATCCTTCCAGGAGCACTGCAAGGAGTCTCCAGCTGGTTGGGTTGGGTTGGGTTGGGCTGAAGGGTCTCCAACTGGCTGTGTGGGGTTGAGTGCAGGGGTTGGGTGGATCCCACCCAGGGTCACCTGCCCTGGTGTCTCCAAACCCTGTCCCACCTGGCCTCGGACACCCCCAGGGACAGGGCATCTCCCCCCCACCCCGTGGTCTCCATCCCCTCCCTCCTCCTTCCCTCCCCAGGTGGCCATGGAGAAGGTGTCGCGCTCCATGG